GAAAAATTGATCATTTTGAATCGGTTGTAGAAACGTTAAATTTCATTTAAACTATTGTAGTTATTCAAAAGTGTTCCTCAGTATAAAATAAAACAAAATTTTTAAAAACATGAGAAAAGTTTTTCGACAAAATCAAACTAAGGAATGTGATCCTTTCACTTAATAAAAGAAACATACCAATAAGTATAATCAAATTTAAAATGTATATCAAAATAAAAACAACTGCAGAAGAACTCTTTGATATACAGAAACATCTAAGTAAGCTTTTTTGAAGTTAAGCTAGTTATTTTAGTACTAACAAATTACTTAAAAGCATCGGACCATCTAAAGACTGATCATCCATTCAGTGACCAGTGCAAAATCTCCTCTAGTAAACTCGAAACAGCATTATTAACCAAACACGACAATAATGTTTCTTCTTCTTCTTCTTTTTATATAGAAATGTCTGTTTTTCAATGTGCCTCCAGTAACTTGCTGTTCCATCGCTTTCGTGGTCCTACTGGTCGTCTTCCTATTAGAAAACCGTCTCTTATCATCTTTACTACTCTATTTGTTGTTATTTGGCTTATACGATCGTTCCATTCGACAATAATGTTTAAAAGAGTTATTTAAAAAATTAGGATGCTATTTTTGCTAAATTCTTATATTCCTAGAAATGTCAAAAACGAAATCGATATAGTATTCTGTCCAAAATGTTTGGATCTCAAGTAGAAGATAGTATTATAATGAAGTTCTAGTTGGTATTTTTCAATCTGAAGTTCCAGATTAATAACTTTAAGAACATTTTGAAACACTATACATTTGTTATCAATAAAGTATGGCACAATTGATTACTATATTCATTTAAAATGGCATCAATATATTCGATCGTCATCGGGTTGAAACTGTTCTTAAGAAATACTATTTGTGAATGAAATTTGACATTTATTTCCGTTGATAAAATTTAAAGGAAAAGAGCTGCATAAATTTTGAGATATGGTAATATCGCATCGGTATACATTATTAAGTTTAATGTTTTATCAGTATTAAATTTGGTGCTTCAAAAGACGTCTATAAGATGGAATAGATGAATTATCAGAGACATATCCGAAAATTCACCAACTGTCGATTGTATTGGTTTTTCAAAAGAAGCTAAAATTGGACATCTCATCACCACACTTTTAGAATAACGAAGAAGTTCCAGTACGAATACCAAAACACCAATTTTTCTTCAGAATTATCGACAGTAACGAGGAAAACGAATCGCTGAAGATTTGTGAACACTAAAAACAAAACTAGTGGATAATATATTACGCTGGGCTGATTTGGAATCAAATAACTTTACCAAGTTCTTCAAGAATTGATTCAACGGCATTTCTCTATCATGGAGTTAAATAATTAATTAATTTGACATTGATCTCTATCGTCAAAATGCAAAGCAAAAGAGCTGCATTAATGTTAAAACAAGGCAATATCGGTGTACGTTATAAAGAAGTTTAATGTATTATTGGTATATACATCAATGTGGTACTTCAAAAGATGTCTATACGATAGAACAGACGAATTATCATAGAAATTAACCAATTGTCGATTGTATTGGTTTATGGTGGAAATATCATCACCACACCTGTAGAATAACGAAGAAGTTTCACTACGAATACCACAACACAAATTTTTCCCAGAATTATCTAGAACAATGAGGAAAACTAATACTGAAGATATATTAGCACTCAAACGTAGTGGTGGATAATATATTATGCAGAGATGTTTTGCCATCAAATGACTTCAGTCTCTTCAAGCATTGGTTCAACAGCATTTCTCTATCATACAGAATGTTTTAAAAAATAATTCTTCTTGTTTTCTTAATCTCATAGCCTCTAAATTCATATTTTGAGTTAGGTTTGATTAGATATGTGGTATTCATAGATTTCTTGTACTACTCATCTATATTGGTCACCACCAGCATACACCAGCATATTCTAGTATAAGTACTACTACGTTATTTTTTTTGTTTTTTGACCGAGATCCGAGCCAATCAACCCACTACAGCCCTTACAGTGAAGTGAATGTACTTTGTCCAGGTGGTCCGCTTGGCGATTTTAGAATCAATATATTTTGTAATTGATACAATTTCTATTGCATGAGCTAGCTATATGATTACGACCAAAGAAATTTGTCATAATTATTATTTACGGTTTGAACAGTCGTTTCTATGTCAATTGCCGTAGAGGAAAATTCTAGGTGCGCCACTGCTCATTCCAACTGATGCTGCTAGGGCAGTGGTTACAGTCAACGTCATATCGCTGGTATAGTCGATGTACCCAGAACTACGGTACAAGATGCCATCAGACGATTTCGTGAAATAGGATCGTATAACCGCAGGCCAGGTCATGGCCGAAACACCATAGGGCTAGACTTCATTTTGCGCTAGAATATGCTAACTTGGACTATGGCGGAATTGAAGAATATACTGTTGTCAGATGAGAGCAGAATAGCCCTAAAAGATCCAAATGGACGCCAACGTGTCTATAGGCGCCAATGTGTATAATGCATGACAATGCACGTTGACATACAGCAGTGAGTACCTTAATGAGGTCGGGATTCAAGTTCTACCATGGCCAGCACACAGTCCCGATCTTAACCCAATTAAGCATATCTGGGACAACCTCAAAAGACGGGTAAGAGCAAGAGTACCAGCCCCTGCATCATTTGAAGAGCTGAAGACAGCTACGGTAGAGGAGTGGCACAATATCCCCCAATCTGATATCCAGAATATCATGAATGGATTGCTAAACCGGCTCCAAGAAGTCCTAAGGGCTAGAGGCAGCAATTGATGCCCAATTTTTTTTTCAATTAAACTTTGATTTCCAAAATATTGTTAATTTGAATTTTCTTCGAAGATTTTATTCATTGGATTTTTACTGTAACAAATGACTTTTTGTCAAAAAGTTTATTTTTTCTCTTCCGCGGAGATAAAAATTGATAAAAAACATGTCTAGTTGTTAAGCACCGAACTTTTGTATTATCCAACATAAGCAAGGTGATCTGTGAGGGTCACAGACTCATTAGCCTGATGAGTCACACTTTAAAGATATTCTTAAAAATACTACATCAAAGATTATACAAAAAATGTGAATGGGATATCAGTGATTCCCAGTTCGGGTTTAGGCAAGGTTTAGGAACACGAGAAGCAATAGTAGCAACACAGGTGCTGGTCCAAAATTGTTACGATCAGAGGAAGGATGTGTTCCTATGCTTTTTAGATTACCAAAAAGCGTTTGATCGTGTCCAACACCACAAGTTAATGCAGATTCTCAAGAAAGTTGATATAGACCAAAAAGACATAAGATGCATTGAAAACTTGTACTGGCATCAAACGGCACAGTTAAAAATAGACAATTCTATATCCAAACCCATACACATAGGGAGAGGCGTTCGACAGGGATGTCTGCTTTCCCCTCTTTTATTTAACATTTATTTGGAAGCCATATTTCAAGAGTCTTTGGAGGATACATAGATGGGAATCAAGGTGAATGGAGTATTGATCAACAACATACGATATGCTGATGATGGTGTCTTAATTTGTGACAACATAGTCGATCTTCAACAACTTGTCACTATAATCGGAGAATACAGTAAGCGAATGGGATTAGAGATTATACCAAAAAGACCAAATTCATGATCATCTCCAGAAACTTGGATGCACTTGAAAACTCCACCATAACACTGAATACTAAATCCATTGAAAGAGTGAGTAAATTTAAATACCTGGGATCGTGGCTTTTTGAAGACGGCATCGGACAGGGAAGTAAAATGTCGCATTGAGCAAGCTCGACAAGCTTTCGTAAAATTCAAGAAGGTACTGACTTGTTCAGAGTTTGATCTTCAACTGAGACTAAGGTTTACTAAGTGCTACGTATGGTCAGTGCTGCTATATGGCGTAGAGGGCTGGACACTCAAAACGAGGGATATAAACAGATTAGAAGCTTTCGAAATGTGGCTTTATCGCCGTATCCTAAAAATACCATGGAAAATCACAAATATAGATGTCCTTAAAAGAATAAACCAAGAACGCCAACTCTTCGAAACCATCAAGAAAACGAAAACGGCGTATCTAGGTCACATCATGCGAAATGAAAAACACCAGTTCCTCCAACTTATAACCGAGGGTAAAATTGAAGGCAAGAGAGGAATGGGACGCAAGAAAATGTCCTGGCTCCGAAACATAAGGCAATGGACAGGGATTAACGACATACAATCTCTGATACATATTGCAAGAAATAGAGAATTAATGGAAAATGTGATCGCTAACATCCATTAGTGAATTTGCATCCGAAGAAGAAGAAGAACATAAGCAAATCAATCAAAAAACAAAATGTTGAGAAAGCATGAGGCTATAGTTACGATTTAACTTCAGTATTCTACAAATGCTAGAATATTCCACAGGGTGATGCAAACTTTAAGAAAAAAAACACATTTTGATTCGTACACCCGGTATACAATGAAAATTTACCTGTTTAGCAACAATATTATTATAAAGATTAAATCGGACAAGTTTAGGAGATATAAGAAATCAAAAATTACCCATTTTTAAGGTGGTTGGTTAATTTTGGCCCAGATTGTATCTTACAAACCGAATATTGTACATACAATTTTGATTATTCCAGAGTATATCACAAAAGAAAATTAATGGAACATGAGACCAATATGCTTTAACCATATCATGACATTCCTTTTTGACGTGTATATAATTTACATAAAATTAAATGTTCGCCAAAAGTAATCAAAAGAAGAGGAATGTCACATAAAATCAGATTATTTTATGACTTGTAAAACAATTATATGGAAGTAATATTAATTATAAATACAATCCAATAAAATTTATTTCATACGTAAATTTATATGCGAGGAAAACCAAAGAGCGCCTACAATTCAAAATGTTACAAACCACACACCATAACCGCAGAATAATGTGGTGTAGGTTTATCACATTAACTGCCACACACAATGAAAATAAAATTTTACAACTTAGTAGATGGTCCGGGTAGGGACAACCAATCATTTTTTACATTATTTAACGTCTCACTTGGCTTTAAGCAATCTGTACTATTTTTACTATTGTCATATTTATCAGTTTTGTTTTTCAGTTCCGAATAAAGATGAACAGCGGCATCTGTTGGTTCAGAATACTCTCCAACTAGGGATGGTTTCCCATTTGTATTCGGTTCTGCTTGCTGGGAAAACTTTTCCTCCATTAATTTTAAGATACTTCGTGCACCAGATGATGACTCCTTTTCTTCTTCGTAAGGAGGAGGAGGAATTTGTAAGTTTAAGTTGCCTAGTTCTTCATAGAGATGTGCTTCTTCCTCTTGTCGGTTATTATTTTCATAGCCATCGTCTATTATGAACATTTCGTAGAGACGTTCGATCATTTCTGAAGCGTCTTGGTGAGTGTTTGGATCGTCCAGTCTCTTCGCTAACACTTGAAGAAATTCCAGCGTTAGTTCTTCTGGAATTTCTAATTTTTCATTCTCATCTACTGTTACTACTGTACCTTCTTCTTCTATACTTAGATCGTTATTGTTATAATGTACATTTCTAAAATATCCTTTTTCTTTGAGCCATCTGCTACCCCTAATAATTAAAATGATAAAAGTGACAAGTATTGCTAAAACAAATAGTCCTATAATTGTTATCATGAATATCAACCAATTTTGTTTGGTTGAATCATCTTCTTCTAGAAAAATTTTGCTGGTTGTATCTACTACTCTAGTTTTGCCTTCGTAAGGTTCACAAATCGTTAAATTTTTACAAGCTTTTTCAGTAAAATTTTGAATATTGATTATACCTATTGGTAAAGAAAAACATTTTGATAATAACTCATTAACTGTACAAAAACTCGTATCTTTAATCAAAGGTATTTGATTAACAGACGCAACTTTTTCAATCCAGTTGTCTATGGAACAATCACATGACTGATTGAAAAAATTGTCATCGAATGTTAAAATAGAAGAATCTACATTGGATAAAAAAGATAGTGCTCCTTCTTCTACAGCATAAACTTCGTTTCCTCTAAATGATAATTTTTCGTTTTCGTTTCCGTGTGACGCTATCAAAAAATTTCGGTGTAGATTCTTGATAATGTTTTTGTCCATGCTGACAGAGTTCCAGCTATGAATGGTAATACCTGCTGGATATATGTTGAATATTTGGTTGTGGTTAATTTCACTCCTTGCAATTGTAGCATTTATGGCACCGGATTCTATATCTGTAACACTAAAATAAAAAAGACAACAATATTAATTGGTGGATAAACAGGTTTGCAATAATATTTAAGAATATTTATAAAAAACGGGCAACAAGTACAGTAAAACCTCGATATAACGGACCTCTATTTAACAGACTTCGGATATAACGGACAAAAAATCCGATCAAATGCAAAAAAAAATAAAAACGTACTCCTAATTACGATATAATAACGCGTAGGTTTATATGATTATACGGGTGATAACACTGGTTACTCACCACTCTACAGAAGTTCTAGTTTATTCATTGTTAACGAACACATTTACTGTACGCCAGCAAATAAGTTAAATTTTTTGCAATCCTACCCTTTAAATACGGACAAAAGGAAAAGAAACAATTGAAATCGATCAATCTAAAATTAGAGGTCTACAAAAGTTGGAGTCTGTGTCTAGAACGTCTGTGTCTCATATATATGCAGCAATCTCAGAAAACAAATGAATGAAAACAATCTTAAAATGGTACGGCAAACAATGTTCCAGTGGGGTGCTGGTCCGGGCAGTCGAATTGAAATCTGCTGAAATTAAATTAGCAAATCATATGGACATACCATTCAGAGCAAGTGATGGATGGCTCTGGCGCTTTCGCAAAAGGCACGGAATCGTTAATAGAAGAATTTACGGCAAAGATTCAAGTGCACCAAAAGAAGAAATGGAACTTTTTAGGCAAAAATTAGTGGAACAATATCAGTAGTGCAATGCTATTAGAATCTCAAATTTATAATGCTGGCGAAACTGGTTTGTTATGGCGTACTTTACCTGAAAGCACTACAATTCTAGTAGAAAAATCAGCAAAGACAGGGTAACGGCACTGTTTTGTGCTAACGCCGATGGATCGCATAGATTGACTCCTGTAACGGTTGGTAAATCTCGTAAACCTAGAGTTTTAGAACATATAATGCATCATCCGTCTGTTTCATATTATAGCTCTAAGAAGTGGAAGATGGCTCACCTCGTTTTTGACAAAAAACATCGCTTATTCAACCCATGGATCAGGGTACACTTTTGGCAAACAAACGTATATATCGCAGAAATTTTTAGACGAAGTAATGGTTGTATTGCACGATGGAGATATTGCAGAAGATACAAGAGGGCAGGACCTTGCAAAACTTAAAGTCTTACAATTTAAAATCAACAATTTTTAATTTTGCTGCAGCATGGAAGGAAGTGAAAGAGCAAACTTTAAAAAATGGTTAGAAGAATTTGTTTGATACCCAAGATGCAGACACAGATTTAGAAGGTCTGGAAGTTACTGATTTCTGCAGGACAATACATACAAATGCCGGAGATTATGTAGCTGAGAAAGATGTTTTACAATGGCTAGAAATACATGAAGGTCACCCTGGGTATACCATCATGATTAAAAGTGAAATAGCAGATGAAGGTATGAACCTAAAAAATGAGGATAGAAGTAAAGATAGCAAAAAAGACAACAAAACAACACTGCCAAAAATGAAGTTATCAGAAGTAAGATCGCATCTCGACGATCTTGTAACATTTATTGATTATTCATCAGACAACGAAGTTCAACTGTATTTTACGCATTTTCGTAATTTTAGAAAGTTGATCAGAAAAAAACAACACGACGTCGAAAGTGCAAACGAAACTTGATTCCTTTTTCAAATCAAGATTACCGACAGCATGCGCGTCGATATCAACAGCAACGTCACTTCACGACGAACGTCCGAAAACAATTAAATAGAATTTTGTTTGTATTTTGTATTTTTTATATATCATACATATTTAAAAATTTGGTCTGACATTATATTATTAATAAAATTCGCCTGAGTTGTCTGATGGGTGGATTGAGTAGCTCATCGGATGACAATGCCCGTCCCAAGCCCGGATAAAGGAGGAGGGTCCCTAAGGTGAGGTTAGCTACATAACTGTGTTAAAGAATCCATACTGGCTCACATAACTGAAGATACAGCCTGGGATACCGGACGGAACTATCAGATGAGGACACGCTCTATGACAACGGAAAAACAAAAACCTAAAAACCCCATCACACGAATCGCGTGCTGGAACATAACGTCGTGGAACGGAAGAGACCAGAAGATCATAATAGAAATGAAGAAACACAGTATTGACATCTGCGCAATTTCCGAAATAAAGAAAAAAGGCCAAGGAACATCAAAATACGGAGAGTTTACACTCACATACAGCGGAAAAGCTAAACATTGAAGTTTGTACACACCAAACTGCCGACTGCCCAAAAACTTACATCGGTCAAACTGGTAGAAACTTTAATAAACGAATAGCAAAACATAAAAGGGGTTTCAATAATAGAAAAACAGATTCGACATACGCACTTCACCTTCTAGATCATAATCATTCTTTTAATAACAAATTTAAAATTCTTCACATTCAAAATAAAGGCCTTAAGCTATCTTTGTTAGAATCTATGGAAATCAACAAATTAAAATCAAGTAACGGTCGAATCCATCAATTAGATACAATATTCATAATAAAACAAATAAAAGAAAAAGCTATAGAGTTCGGCATGCCAGCGTATATCTCCGAGGTTCGCCTGGGAGACATTCTAAATATATTAATAGAATATTAATCTTTTTTGGTAATTTGTTAAATAATCTTTAAACTTAAATAAAGTTCTATATATTTGTTTTCCAAAGCTAGATCAAAATAGATAAAAATTGCTTTCGATGTGGAATTCTAAACGTAAAAATAATAGTTTGGTTAATAACTTTGCTGTCCCAACAAAATATTTGTTGGGACACTAGTAAAAGTTGAACCACTACAATTCTATTTTTTTTTTCTCAAAACATTCGTTTCAAACGTTTTATATGATTTCTTGTTATACTTACATGGAATGGCTTAAAGAAAAATTGCCAAAAGCTGCAAAAACTGCCTTCGATTGTATCCTAGAAATATTACATTTACTGATTTTGAAGTCGCAAATGAGAGACCTTTCAGCGAACGCCGCCGCTTGAATATTTTCGATACTGGAATTAATCAATACAATTGATGATATCTGTGTCGCTTTAAAAGCATCCGTCAATATGACGCCAATTTTACAGTTTTGGAATGATACGCTTGCTAAAGACTGTAGAAAAACTTCTCGAGGTATCTTCGGAATTTCGACATTATCGAAGATTATCTAAAATTAAAATAAAAAAAAATAAACATTATATTTTATAATCCTTAAACTAATTTTTGAAAATTATATTTTGAGCAAGTTTAAAGTAAAAATATAATATACTTCTTGTTTAATTTATAGCAGATTGGAAAAATTTGTCTTATGTTGCATTAACATACTTTTTCCGCAAATCGCCAGGAAATTTTGACATTCCTGTCAAAATTTCTTGAAGAAAAAGTCAGAACTTCCTTACTGTAAGGAAATGTCATTTCCTTACTGTAAGGAAATGATATTTCCGTACAGTTGTTAGTGTTCTACATAAAAGTTTGACAATTCAACCTCAATACGTTTCCATAGTAACCCAAGTAATTTTATTAGGAATTTCAAAGCACCATTTATTTGGGAATAAAATTATCGCGTTATTTTTAAATCAATCAATATCTGTCGAATTTTAAACGATTTGCGGAAAAATAGTATGTTTACCTCGTAGAAAAAGCCACATTCCTGGACTCTGTGTTGCTAAGTCTCGGCTTGCGCCTCGACTTAGCAATCTTCACAGTCGTCCAGGAATGTTAAGCTTTTCAAAACCCGGTAAACAATGTACTATTCACATATTTGTAACTGTAATTTAAATATTAACGATATATTATAAATCCGTTCGATTTATCCGCTAAGTTATACAGGGTGAGTCATAACTATTGGGACATAGACTAAAGACAGGTTATTTGGACCAAAATATGGCTATTGGGCCAAATATGCCTTAATAAAATGTTGCTGAGAAAAAAGATACAGGGTGTTAAAGTTAATTTTTGTTTTTCGTTTTTTGGTAATAGTTTCCCTGTATATTTATAAATTGCTATCAAAATTGGCCCAGAGGCATAATCTTAGACAAGAAATAGTATTTAAATTACAATTTTACGTTTTGTCATAGAGGGCGGCACGTGGATCATTCTTAATGATCAAATTGAGTCTAAACTTTTTCTGATGAAACTTTTTTGTAATTTTTATTAAAAAATATGACGTAAACATCATTTTTACGTAAAATTGGTACTCTTGTTTAAACATAATAATTTCAACCGTTTTCAATAAAAACGCAGTCGAACTGCTTAGAGTCTTAAAAAAGGATTTCAAATATTATTTCATTTATGAAAAGTATGCTTTGGACTATCAGATAATTGTTGTTGGTAAATGTCATTTGTTCAGAATAAATTATTCTTGATGTGAGAGTGTAGTGTAATGTTGCATTTTTAAAAGTAATCATTACTTTTTTTGATTGAAATGCCTCGTCACAATCATTTTACTAATGAAGAAATGCGAGATATGATTTGTGTATACACACAAGAAAATTTTTGCGGTCGCTCGGCAGCCAGAAGGTATGGAATGTTATATGAACACAGAAGGCAACCTTGCAAACTTTTGCAAGATTATATCGTAGTTTAGGTGAAACTGGGTCATTTCACACTAAAAATCGGAGTGGTCGACCTAAACAAATCACACCTAATCAAGAAGATGAACTTTTAGTTCCAGTAGATGAAAATCCTGAAATAAGTTCACGACATCTATCAGCAGCAACAGGAGTAAGTCAGTCGTCTATTGTTATAATTCTAAAAAAAGAGAACTTCCATCCTTATCACTTCACTCCTGTTCAAAACTTACTTCCAACAGATCTTCCACGACGGTTACAGTTTTGCCAACGTATTATGAATAAACATGCAATGACAGCCGACGAAGCAACTTTTACCAGACGAGGGGTTTTTTTTTTTAATTGGCGAAATAGTCATTATTGGGAAGAAGAAAACCCGCATGCCATTAAAGCTAGACATTTTCAGCATGAGTTTAAATTGAATGTTTGGTGTGGTATTATAGGCGACCAACTACTAGAGCCTTATGTTCTTCCTCCGAATTTAAATGGAGATTCTTATTTATTCTTTTTGAAAAATACTCTTAGGGATATTTTAGATGATCTGTCACTGGATGTAAGAAGAAAAATGTGGTTTATGCAGGATGGAGCGCCACCTCATTTTTCATTAGCTGTTAGAAATCATCTTAATGACGTATTTCCTCAACGATGGATTGGCAGAGGCAGTGATTTTCAATGGCCACCAAGAAGTCCTGAGTACAACCCGCTAAATTTAAATTTTTGGGGACATATGAAGTCCTTAGTTTATGCTAATGAAATTAATACACGAGACGAACTTTGGAGATACATTCAAAATAAAGCTAATCTTATAAGGGGACAGAATAATATTTTTTTAACGTCCGAAAATCCTTTATAAAAAGAATTAGAAAAGGCATAGAAATAGGAGGAGACCATGTAGAACATTTAGTTTGAGTTTTTGTGAGTTCTTTTAAGTTAAAGTGTGTTTAGTTTTGATTTATCGTCAAAACGGAAACCTTACGTGAGTTGCAACTTTGTTTATTAGTTTGGTATTTGATAGTGGAATTGTAAATAAAACACTATTTCTTGTCTAAGATTATGCCTCTGTGCCAATTTTGATAGCAATTTATAAATATACAGGGAAACTATTAGCAAAAAACCAAAAACAAAAATTAACTTTAACACCCTGTATCTTTTTTCTCAGCAACATTTTATTAAGGCATATTTGGCCCAATAGCCATATTTTGGTCCAAATAACCTGTTCTTAGTCTATGTCCCAATAGTTATGACTCACCCTGTATATCTATATAGCTATGTATATCTCATATTAATATCGTATTAACTACAGTCCAAAACAACAAAGGAGTTAGTCATTTCATGTTTTTTAATCAGAAAAATGAACAATATTTTACACAGCGAATTAAAAGTATAACTACCGCAATGAGTAAACAGTTTGTGTGCGAATACTTACAACTGTAACAGGTCCGTGTCTAGCAATAGTTTTTTGGTTTTTAAAATCGAAAGATCGCTCGTATAATTTTAGCAACTTGACGTTCTTGAATGTGCTATTGTCGAGTTTGCTGAATGCTGCTGGTTCAACGCTGACATAATGTACATTGAAGACTTCAATGGAAACGGAACTCTAAAATTAAAAACAGTGATGATTAGTTTATAATGATATACATTTAGTGCTAAAGTTAAAAATAATTGCCGTTGTAAACTTAAGATGTTTTGACACAGTTTTACTGAAAAAACATAGGCAATCTCTTAAAATCAAAGTTTGTAAAGTTATTTTTGTTAATTTGTTCCTCATTTGTTGCAAAAATTTGCTTCAAATATCAATTTTTTTAAAATTAATAATAACTTTTCTAAAAATGCTCAAAAAACCCCAATTTAGCGTGATAATAGGATAATATCACATGTATTCAGTTATAAAAATTTCAAGAAGTTTCACTTAAAAGTTATTACAAAATTGAAATTATTTATCCCAGAAAGCTTTTATCTATAACGTTATTATGCGTAAACTATTAGGTCTACATCAATTCTGAAAGCACCAAATTGCAGAGAAAGGTTTATTTTGCATTTTTGCACGAATTTAAAAAAGCTATGTTCTACGACCCTTAGAACCCGAGTAAGCACTTTTTTATTTCTCGATTTTAATATTTCAAAAACTGAATTTTTCTTCTTTTTTTTATGTAGACATGACTGTCTGTTTTTCAATATGCCTCCAGTAAGTTCCATTGTTTTCGTGGTCGTCCTACTTATCGTCTTCCTATTGGGGAATCGTCTTTTGCCGTCTTTACTACTCTATTTGTTGTCATTCGGCTTATATAATCGTTCCATTCTACTCTTCTATTTCTTACCCAATCCTTGATATTCTCCACCTTGTATCTACGTCGTGTATTTGTACTTCTAGCTCTGTCCCATAGTTGTACGATCAATTTTTCGAAGTGTTTTAATCTCAGCTGTTTCTAACATTTTTTTTGTCTTAGTAAATTTGCTGTTATAACCCTGCATTGTCTTTTCTGGGAAATTAACATGTTAAATTTTCTGGCGGTTATATTAAATTGTTGTAGCATACGCTGTAAATCATCTTCATTTTGACATTTACTGCGTCCTTTGCATAGAAGATTATTTTAAGTTGTTTTTCTTCAATGTGGTATCATTTTTTTCTGATTTTTTTATTATTTCACATCCATAATTATAGTGTATTTTTATGTATGAGAGAGTAATAAAACAATACATTATGTATGCAAATCCCTAAACTGTTGATACGGGTGACTCAATGAAAAACAGATATTTGTCAACAAGTTTACAGAAGTATATAGGAAAACAATTTTAAATTGAGTATGACTACCAGGTATAAAGGTTGGAGCAGAATAGAATACAATAGTTGTGAGGGTTACTAATCCCTAAATAAGGTTGCCAGTGTCGGAGTGATGGAGGTTAACAGGTACTAATGAATTTGCAAGAAATGTAAGATGTTTATTTTATTGGTTATATATAACCAATAAAAGTTTAATAAGTACCTACCTATTTGCAAAATAAAGTTTAATTCTTTAGATAAAATAAAACGTTTTATTTTATCTGAAATGAGTGCATTCCACGAAGTAAGGGTTTCAACAATCAAACATTTAATTCTTTAATTCCAGGAATCTACGACAGTAATTGACTAGGTAATTACCTTCTAAACTTATTCCACAGAAAATGTGATAGTGGGTTTTTCCATTTTGTAGGAAGGTCCAAGTGGCGTATTCAAAATTCTTAACAGTTCACTAAAAGTAGGTACTTCAGTTGCAAGGTGCAATTTATTGTGTATACTAATGTTATGGAAAATTTGGAAGTGCCGTGTAAACGCCGAAAAATTGGTCCTTTACCAGTTAATGAAAAAACATTAATATTTAATTGTTTTAAATCATTTACAGACAAACGTTTATGTGAAAGTGTTGATGAGACCGTTGAGTTAGTTAGCAGTACACTTGGTGTTGGGAAATCTACGATTTACAGAGTTATTAAAGAAGAGAAATGTGGTAGTTTTCAAATGCCACGTAATGCTCCAGGGAAATCAAAATTTCAAATAGAATATCATTTTAAAGAAGGACTTCGACGGAAAGTCCATGAATTCTTCTTTAGACAAGAATTTCCAACATTGGATAAAGTTCTTGTCTCAGTTCGAGATGATAAGGATTGCCAGAAATGAGTCGAAGTACGTTATGGAAACTTTTAAAAGAAATAGGCTTCCGCTGGAAAAAGAATCCCAGAAAGTCTATTTTATTAGAAAGAAGCGATATTGTCATATGGAGAAGACATTTTCTAAGAACCATAAAGGAAATAAGAAACCAAAAAACACAAATATTTTATCTTGATGAAACATGGATCAACGAGGGTCATACACCAAATAAATTTTGGCAGGATGAAACTGTTACAAGTCAAAGGCACGCTTCTGTAAATAACTTATCTACTGGTTTAAACCCACCATCAGGAAAGGGACGCAGGCTGATAATAGTACACATTGGCAGTTCAGACGGTTTTGTTGAAGGTGGTTTATTAACTTTTGAATCAACTCGTACCGGTGACTACCATGAAGACATGAACGCTGATGTCTTTCAAGAATGGTTCGAACAAATGATAGATCTTCTTCCTAAGAACTGTGTAATAGTAATGGATAATGCAAGTTATCACTCCTGACTTATAGAAGGACTGCCCACAACCAAGTGGTTAAAAAAAGACTTGCAGAATTGGCTGAGTTCAAAAAATATTACATACCATCCCGGATCTATAAGAAAGGAACTTTATTCGTTGTGTGCCCTTCATAAAGAAAAATTTAAAAAATACGAAATTTATAAAATTGCCAAAAATCGTGGAATGACAGTACTTAGATCCCCACCATATCATTGTGAATTAAACCCGATTGAACTGGTATGGGCACAGATAAAGAGTGAAGTTTCAAGAAAAAATACCACTTTTAAAATTCATGATGTTAAACAGTTGTTTTTGGAGGCCGTAAATAATGTAAAACCTGAAAACTGGGAAAAGGCAGTAAATCACACTATTAAAGAAGAGGAAAAAATGTGAAAGCTGGACAATATTACTGATAAAATGATCGAGCCAGTTATTATAAATCTTGGTTCTGAAAGTTCATCTTCTGAATCTGATTTGGATTTGTAACAAGTAGCTGTAAGTTTTATATTAATATTTTTATTCATCTATTTAACATACCTTGGACGGGTTTAAAAACTCTTTTTCTCTTTTGTAATTTTTAAAAATTAAAAAAAAATGTGAATTTTTTAAAACCCTTTTTAATGTAGGCCAGTCAGTTCTAATATAGTGTGTGATAAAAGAGGTCACTTTTGTTTACATACACATAACACTTTATAACACTGAAATAATTAATTTATTTTTTACAATTATTCAAAGTAATTTTTCAATTAATCTTGAGCACGCCCATGGAGTGGTCGGAGGTACCAGTTAAAATTATGCTAATTACTCTCTCGTTCATAAAAATAAACTATAAAAGAAGAAAGACCAACAAGAAAAGTTTTCATAGAAAATATTTAAAAATATGGAAAGTAGCTAGCAAGCGATCTTCAAAGAAATTATTATTTTAATTAATATCTTAACAGACTTGCAAGAATGTTTTAAAAAAAATAACTGAACTGAATTCTTATTTAGTTACAAAATATAATTATACATGAATACAAAATGCATTTTATCTGAAGACAATATTGTAACTTTACATGTCGTCACTCAAAACCATTGAAAAACCCCTGAACTCTAATTCAAAGCGCCATAATAACTGCAAATGAAAGACCTTTATTTTTAATCCTCGGAACAACCGCAGAACGTGTTCAGGTAAAACGCATACGTATTTGCGGTTACTAATGATATCCATCTCGATCTCGTTTCTTTATGAATGTATAAATAATAACCACAATTTAAATCTGTGACACGTGGTTTTTTACCTTTTTTATATTTTAATAAATATCTCCTTAAGGCTTATCCTCGATAATTGTAACGGTAAAATTCAGAGAGATGTCTATTTCAAAAATATCTTTCTTTACAAAAACAAAATCCATTCACGAAGAATATTCTAAACGTCATCTTGTACTAGAGGTAAGCTTTATACCTACCTTATACAACCCCCTATTGTGTAAAGTCGTGGGTCTATACAATAAACGACTGGGCGGCCTTCTATTCAATGTGGTTTTGAAATAATGTTGAATAAAAACATTCATGAAATTAAAATGAAAGAATTTACGTCTATTAGTAGAAGTGCGATTTATAAAATTAGTACTTGAAGCATAAATCGCGGGAGGAATATGTGCATCAGTTTTCAAATATTTATTATTTACTATATAATTTCTAAATTGAACCACTTTCACTTCTTTAGTTAACAATGTATCTGTTTTGACAACTAAATAGGTAATTAGACAAAATAATTATTAATTTCAAAACAGGAGTTTAAAGAATTAGAAAGAGGTAGCCCGGGCCCAGTTAAATGGTCAAGCTTATTCCAGTGGAAGCAATAAGGAGAATTATTTTTCGTTTTGGCACAGCTGACATGCTCTCTCTAGTACTACAACCCATGAAACTGTGGTAAAAAGCATGCTTTATTTATACGGTTGTGAAACACGACGATTAACAGAGACAGATTAATATCGAAGAAAGATATCTCGTCGAACTTAATGCAATAAAGTATGAGAATAGAAGGTACAGTCATGGATGGCATACAATGAAAGCAGCTCAAATGGGTACAGGTCCAATAAATGAAAGACAAGAGACTCCTAAAACAAGTACCTGTATGAACACCTACCGTAATCCAGAAGAGAGGATTACCTTAGAAAACACGGATGGAAGGAATAAGAAACTTAATGAGCTCGAAAGAACTTAAAGAACAATGGAACAACCGAATTGAATGAAAAATGAACGTCGGAAGACATTTTATAAGGATTATATCATATTATAGGTACATTTTTTGGACTAAAAATAAATTTGAAGAAAACCAAGTTCATGGTATTTACAAAAGCACAAAGCATCAAAGTTAAGCTAGTACTAGATAATACAGAAATTAAACAAATATCTTTGTACAAATACCTTGGAGCATGGATCACAGAAGATACTGATTAGACAAAAGAAATAAGA